CGGCGGGCTGGACGACATCCCATGCTGAGAGAAGAGGAGCTATACTGATAACAGACGCCTTGGAGCCGGCTCAAACAATATCAGAAGTAGGGCCAAGACTGTATGAAGCAGATTACAAGCCCCAAGACATCGTCGATGCCATTGCAACATGCGATCGCATGATCGAAGCTGCAAAGGAAAGAGGTCGTGAGGTTCCTACACCCCAAACATCAGACGAGGCCCTCTGGCGTACATTGACCGGCGACAGCTGGAGAACGCTCCAGTCGAACGAAGCAGATTCATCCAGACACACTCCTGAGATAAGTAAGCGACAAAGGTTCGGAAACACCAACGTTGCTCGATTGGGGAGAAACCTACAGAACTGGTATCAGACCCGCGCTACCGGTCCTGTTGCTGCAAGCACATTGTACGGCGGCGATCTAAGCGACGATCGCTTCTTCTATGAAGCTTGGTTCGAATCGAGTTTCCATCGAAAGTTCTTCATCACGACAGACGGCCATATGGGCGTCGGCCCGCCGGAGATGCTTCCTGGTGACTTTATTGTAATATTGCTGGGCGGGAATGTACCATTCTGCCTCCGAACAGTACCAGATGAGCCCAAGGGCCACTATACGCTCGTTGGAGATACATATGTGCATAGCTTCATGGATGGAGAAGGCGTTCCGGCGGATCTGAAAGAGCACGTCGTTAAAATACACCTCCATTAAGAAGGCGTCGATTTGAAGAAGCTTACTGTTCATGCACTCTACTTTCAACACGTACACCTTTGCTGAGATTGTACAGCGTACGCCACCCTAGGATATGTAAAGATGAAGTGCAACACACTGTCAGTGGATAGTCGAAGAATTTGTGGACAACGAGGACCCTGTTGAAGTGACGTGTAATAAACATACCAACACTCGACTCATCAGTCGAAGCGGTATCATAAAACTACCCAGATATCTAAGCGTACACTCCCCTGCGTACAAATGTAGTAAACTCCAAACAATACCGTATCGCTCATACAGAAGAAAGCGGAAACAGCCTTTTGCAACCTCACCAACGCCACGCAGCAAGGGCTTTACAAACACGTACTACTACCACATCTAACCCCCACCTTCAGCGATGGCCTTGAGTAGACCGCCGACATAGTTCCGGAGAGTAAGATTATGGCTCGCTGTGAAGGCGATCTGATCCCGCAGCGGAGCAAAGATGCGGGGGACCCATCCAGCGTTCTTGGCTTCTTCTTCCTCTTTCTCTTCGTTCTCTCGTCTTTGTTCCGCTGCTGCATCGCTGAGACGGGGCTTCTTGCCGCCGGCTGTGGCTCGTCTTGCGGCTTCGGGGCTTCCTTCGCTGGCGCTGAATGTCCGCTTGTGGGCGGGGGAGGATGGTGAGGTAATGTCGGTGACAGTGGTTGGGGGCGGGATCTTGTTGAGCTGGCGGGCAAGGTTGCGAAGGACGAGGACAGAGGACAAGGGAAGGCCGGCGGCATCGTTCGTATCGTCGGTTGCCGTGTTGTAGTAGCGGAAGTTGGGTGCCGATTGCGCTCCTGTTGCATCATCTCGACCGCCATATCTACTTGCAGAGCTGGTCGATGAACTCTGATGTCGCCCACCCATACCCAAACTACCCAACCCGACCGGTTGTCCGAATTGGGGCTGGAAGTTCTCATGCCGTGCTTGTGCGGAAGAAGTCAGGGGCCGTGACTCTGAAGGCGTGCGGTTGTGTTTCGCGTGGATGGCCTGCTTGATACTCGTATCAGGCAAATGCGTCTTGACATGCTGTCCAGCCTCGAACGCGGATTCCGTGCCGTCAGGCGAGAACCGAGTGCAGCCGCCCCAGTGACAGTAGTATTTCGTCGCTTCTGGGGTGTCGCCGTTCTCGATATTGACGATGTCCTTGATGTCCAGCTTTGGCTCAAGCAACCACTGCCCGGTTTCCTGATCGCGAGGAACTTGAAGATGGACACTGACAACGTGTTCCCACATGGAGCGTGCTCCGGAAGCGAACTCGCCGCACTCGATATTGGCTGTGGAATGTTTCGAGTCGGCATGGCCGTTCAAGAGGCTCGGTGGATGCCAGCAGCAGCGCATGTACGGCCTCTTGGTGCTCGGGTCGACTGGTACGGATCGTGGCCGTATGCCTCTTATGGTATACTTTGGCTGCCCACCCACGGTCAACACCTGAGCGGAGGCGCCACCGAACGTCGTCGATACATTCGTGATGAAGTCCTTAGCTGGCATCAGCGCCTTGAAAGAAGCCGGATTATTCGTCATGTGTTCTGAGAAGGCTGCGTTGTAGGCCGACCAGAGCTGGATCTGAGTAATCTCGCCAGTCGCATCCTCTTCGAAACACGTCTTGAGCCATTGCGAGCTACGCTCTGGTTCGTCAAGTGTCACGAGATGATCTATAATTGCAGACGACAGCTTAGGCGCATTCTCTGGAGGTGCAGAGGTCTTTGCCGTCTTGGCGGCACTCCTTCGTTCTTCGTATGCGATTGCACCGTACTGTAGCAAGCGTACCAGTTGCTTTGCTACTCCCTCAATGTCGACTTCGTGTACAAGCGTCTCAACGTTGTCGGGGAAACCGGTGAAGAGATAGAGGAAGTCCAGGCACGCTATGCGCAGATCTTCGTCTTCTACTAGCAGCCAGTCGCAGATTGACTTAAGGGTCTTGACTGGCACGTCAGAGAGCTTGTTCGTAGCCTCCAGATTCATTGCTATCCGGGCGAGTGCTCTCAGCGATGTGATAATGCGGCCACGGTCGTCGGAATCCACTTGGGCGAGCAGAGAGCGATACAGCGGGCTTTGCGAGTCCAGTATCCAGTACTTTGTCAGCTGCTCGGCAATCTCTAGGGCGTAATGCTGTAGTTCCACGATAGTGGAGTGGCGGGGCAGGTTGAGTGCGATAACGATCATGTCTTGGATGGAAGGCACAGAGGCCGCGAAGATAGCATTCTCTTTCAGCATTACCATGTTCCGGATGATGAGCGCAGCCTCGTTAATCATGGTGAGGGCCTTTGCGGATTGCTCGGGTAGGAGGTTGTCGTGCATGTCGAGTGGGCGGAGAGATTTGATGCGCTGCAGCAGGTCGCGGGTGCCGGTCAGTCCGTTCAGGGTTTGCGGCTGAGTAAAGTCCTCTTCGACGTATGAGATGTCCCAGTTCACATCGAAGAACAATGTGGACACGTCAATGACCTTGGCGATGAGTGCATCTGCGAGTCCCGGGAACTGATCGAAGCGGTACTTGTCTCCTCGCTCGTGCGAGATCTTGACTAGGTGGTGCAGCGCGTATGCCTCCTCCTCAGGCTCCTTTGACCGCAGCGCGTTCAAAGCGCGGATGTATATGCTGGGCCCTGAGAAGCCGGTACCGGGCAGCATCATGCCCTTGAGCGGCACCGGCCTGTTCTTCTTGTTGAGGATGTACTTCTTGCGCGACTGTATGTAGGTATCGAGGGAGTTGGACGGGGTAACGACGGGCTTCATGGTGGCTGGTACGGCGGTCCGTGGCTCGTAGTTCGCGATCGTCATGGCTGCTCCGCTGGTGCCGTAGCCGTTGGCTTGCGACGAAGTCAGATGGCCCGTCGATTGGCGCGTCTGTCGGGTTGAAGACTCGGGCTGGAAGAGCACTCGCTGCGGCGGCGCATGGCGGAGGGATCTGGTCGACCGCCCAAGGCTACCGGGCTCGTCCACGTCCATCTTGTCGTCTTTCGGCGTCTTCTCGACGTCGTCTTCGGAATCGGAGTCTTCCTCTCCCCTTAACCGTTCGGCCTCTCTATTGCTGGTTGGGAAGAAGTTGTCGACGGTCCGGTTGAGCAGGTCTCCGCCCTTTGCAGATACGTTCTCGAGGATTTCGGGCGGCGGGGGTTCGCGCTTGTGAACGGTGGATATTTCGTAGGCGCTAGAGCAGGCGTCAGCAGTGGTAGGCGCAAAGTTGTCTTTCACCATTCACGTACGCAAGGTTCTTGTAGTAGGCGGTCTTCACCAAAAAGGCCTGGGTAGTGATGCTGGGGCTCTTGGGTAGGAACTCAGTCGCGATTTTGCGCCACGCAAGCTTGTTGTTTTTGGTATCTGAAACCCTATCGTACCCTCCCTCTTCATTAACGCGTTTGTAGAGTCGCAACAGGTCAATGTGCCGGCTCCCGACCTTGGGTTCGCGATCCAGGACAGTGCTACACGTCGGGTCAATATGCGCTCATTGCGGCGAGACAAAGAACAAAACCCACCCGCGCTTTTCGTGGTATTCGGCCAAGGTATTTAGGAAGTCTTCATGTTCTTGGGTGCGCTCGACAGATTGTTCCTCTGGTTTGTTTGGGGCCATGGTGCGGCTGTCGCATTTACTCGGGACTGCTCGGGCACGGGGCGCGACGCATGCGTGGATTCAGCTGTGTGCCAGGCGCAATGGTGGATCTGCTCGTGAATGCGCGGCGCGCGTCGTTCGCGATGATGGATGGGCGAACACCAGAACTCCAGACTGCACCAGGTCCCTCGCGTTGATTCGCACGGACCACATCATGTGACTGAGGTCGGTCGCGACTTCCTTCGACCATCTCTCACGTCTCTCAGCACCTGCGTGCGCGACCTCGACGTGTCTCTAAGACGACACGGTTCATCGCGCATATGCTATCAGATGAACGATTATTGATCTCCACTAACCACAGCCTTGCTAACCATCATGCTATCCCTTCCGCTTCAGACTCTGTCAACAGCGCAAGACACCGACGCCAGCGAGCAGAGGTTTCACTGGCAGAAAGAGACCAATGACCTCACATTGATCATCGACAGCTATGGTGCGCGCGGGGGTCTCCAGCTCATGAAACTGTGTCAAGGCTCGCAGGTCCGGGTACGACGCGTGCATGACTGATTACCCGCCCACCCACTCAGACTGGAAACCCGCTTCAAATGATGTGCTAGCTAACCGTTGGATGACAGCAAACCATCGAAATCGAGAGACTGATCAACGAAGGCAATCACATTACGCGTCTGAGTGAAGAGCGCGGAGTGCAGGTGCAGCCCGACCACCTACACATATCCGCCATTGTGCGCTGCCCTCTGCTCGCTATCAAATGGCAAGTGGCCAACAACAAGATCAGGCGCATCCAGATGAGGTTCAAGTCGGACAAAGACTTCGACACCGCGTTCGGCCACCTTCTTCATCTCGGTCTCTACATGGGCGGCCAAAAGGCAGTCCCGTCTCAGCCAAGGTCTACGGCTCAGCCACCATCTCCAGCGCGAGGAGGATCATCCTCTCGACCAAGTCTGACTGCTGTTGCCTACCCTCAGCAGCCTCATATGAGCCCTGCCATAGGTGGACCATCGTGCCCTCCTTCACGACTGGCGGAGATCTCTAGTCGACCGTCCACAAGCTATGACTTCTCTGCTTCCTTGAGTCATCAACTACCCACAGCATCATACACCCGTCCAGTCTCTGCCACCACAGGCTATACTAGAGAAGCGGGCGGTGTGCCGGCATCATTCTCAGGCGCTCTTGCTCCTCCAGTATTGTTCGCTCGTCCTACCTCAGCAACCTCGGATATCTTAGGACGCTCGCATGTTGACTCTTCATATACGTCAGATCAGCACATGCCGGACCTTCAAGAATCTCATCGTATGTCTACGGACCGACCGGATACTGCTATGCTGTTCACCCGCCCTGGTAGTGCAAGTCGTCCCGATACTGCGGATCGCCCTGGTAGCACTGAGATACTACCACCGAGACGCGAGCTTCCTTTCCCACGCTTGTCTTCGCCGCGCTCCTCTGGCAGCGACAGCGTGCGGCCCTCTACTGGCACAATGGGGCCTCCTCCTCTACCAGCACGCGTAGCCAGTAACCGACCTGGTTCCAGCCGAAGCGCAACCAGCAAGGAGATCGAACTCCCACCTCTGCCCCAACCCACTGTCATCAGCAAGACCGCACGTGGAAAGCAACCAATGCAGCAGCCTCCTCGCACACCGAACCAAGATCAGTACAGCCCTGTACGCGCAAAGACATCTCCACATGGCGGCATCGAGAATCAGTCACCGTTGACATCGTCTCCAATATCCTCTCCGTTATCTTTCAATCGGTCAAGTTTCAGTGCCATTCCGACACCGCAACCTCTTGGCGAACGAAGTAATGCTACACAGAATCTTCATCACAACATGTCGTATAGTGGTCTCGACACCCCACCTACGTCTGTTGCTGGTCATCGTGGTGTGAACATGTCCAATCCAGGTGCTACTATGAGTGTCAATGAACATGACCAGCTGGCGACATATGCGATGCAGTCTGACGAGGGCCGCAGAGCAGCGCTCAACGAGTTTGTCTATCGCCACCTGGAAAGCGACGACTTCCTCACGCTCGTCCTAGACATGGAGGCAACTTGGGCGAGAGTTACAATGTAAACACAATGAGAGGACCGCTGACCATAAGGATTTCTAGCAAAGAGTATGTGAATGAAGGGGACTTTCGTCGAGACTTTCAGGAGGACGTAGTAAAGAGTATGGAAAAGGGCGCGATTGCATCTTACAAGCATCGACTCGTTCTCTTGTTTCAAACTCTTTCGTACTTCTGAGATAGTGATACTGTCAACAGATGCGCAGCATAGAATCTCTCGTTTTACATCCACTCAATGCCTGCTCCCCTGCTCGCCAACAACATACCCCCTCGCAATTCCACTCCTCCCCTCTTCCATCTTAGCCGCCCTCTTACCCCCAGCCCCCTCTTCACCATCTTCCGCATCTCGGTAATCAGTACCCAAGCCCTGCCACGTCCTATTCGAGCGCAAATACTCTGCGCCAGGCGACGCGACGCCCCCCACAGCCGCAATATCCCCATTGGCCCGTTTCGTCAGCGCAGAACTAGACGACGACGTCGCTCCATTGCCGTTAACGGCTTTCGTCGCGCCACTCGAGCGCATAGGTCTCGCATGCGAAACATAGCGCCCAGTCCTAAGATCAAACTCCGGAGGCGCTGATTCCTCCTCAGAATCATAATCGCCATTCGCATCTCCATCCTCCTCTCCCTCCTGCGCACTGCTACCACTCTTCTCTTTCACACCCCCCTCCCCCTCATCCAAAACCTTCTGAAAGTCGCCTTCCCACCTCCCCGTCCAAACCCTCTCCTCATCCCCCATCAACGCCACCTTGAGCTCCCACGGCGTAATCATCGGCCGCCAAAACTCCCTACTCTCAATCAAACTGCTCTCCCAACACCCTATCACGACCCACCCCCCGACCTCACTGAAATTAGCCACCTTGGCTGCATTCACTTTGCCCACGACAAACGTGTAGTATTTCTTGCCCGCGGCGCTGATTTGGCGTTGGACGTGTGAGAGGATGTGCATGTAGTTCTTTACCGAGAGGGTGTTGATCAAGATGCCGAAGATGGGGGTTGTGGAGAGGGAGGTTAGGAGCGCGTAGCGGCGCATGAGGGTTTGGTGCGTGCGGGCTAGGGAGGCGGTGGGTGTGGCGGCGGAGGGGGTGTCTGTGGGGTAGATGTGTATTGAGGCGACGCGCGAGGAGAGGGTGAGGAGGAGGGAGGTTGGGGGGTCGGAGATGTGGAAGAGGGCGTAGTCGTGGAGGGCCTCGTCTGTTTCTGTTGTGTTCGGTGGTATCGTTCGGTTTGGGAGCGGCGATGAGGGATTATGTACGATTTCTGTGGCGTGGATGTGCGTGTAGCCGGCGTCTTGGAGGCGTGCGTGGAGCGTGGGGATGTGGTGCGAGTATGGTATGTCGGCCATGAGTATGATCTTTGTGTCTTTTTCTGGATATGTCTCTTGGAATGTTGCGATTACGGGGTCGAGATCTAGCGGTCGTTCGGTAAAGACGTATACGACTGGTAGTCTTGAAGGAGGCGAGAGACATGAGCGGCCATAGTGTACGACAACGTCCGCGTCGACGTGCTCTGCAGCAACTTCGTCTACACAGCACGCGCCGTATGATGTATCGCCCAGTATAAACAGACTCTCATCCTTGCTCTCCTCATCACATAAGTCTGTCTTCTCCAAGCCCGCGCTGATTTCCTCCACGCCTGTTGTCCCATTGGTGTGTCCATTCTCCTCTTGCACCCCATCCCGCGCCTTCCTCGCCTTGCCCAGTCCCCGACTTAGCTGCTCATACACTCTCGGCGCATCAGTAAGCATATGATCCGGGAACTGCAATGCGATCCTCTTCCACCTCCCCTCGCGGATTTCCCTAACCGTCCGTTCGATCTCATATGTGAGCGTGATCTGCTCATCGGAAAGTCTGGGGAGACCCGACGTGTCTACGGCGGGAGTGGGGTCTTCGAAGATGTGCGTGTCGGGCGTAGAGAGCACGGGCGCGCCGGCGAGCGACGGAACGGCGGCCATTGTGTGTGGTGATTGCGGAAGAGCGGTGTTGAGTGCGTGAAGCGTGGCGGGGTTGTACCTTTTTTTGATGGGTGCGCAACTGGCGGGGCACGCCTCGGTGATGCAGGGACGGGCGGCGCCGAAGAGCCGCAATGCACGGCATGGTAATGTCGCACGTGTGATAGGTGAATGGCAATGGAACGTTCGGTATACGTGTATTGACTCAATTACTATCTACAAAAGAAAGGTGGTATCATATTTCAACCCGCGCTGAATTCAATCCCCATGTCGCCAAAAGCAAACTGGAAAATATCTCACATCATCAGGTATCCTGACACGGCTGCTGCCAGAGCAAGACCGAGGACGTTGGGCACGAACTTCCCTACACCACTGTCGTCGTCGCCGTTGTTTGTAGTGGCGAGCTGACCAACGATCAGCTCGGGAGTGTATGGCTGCGATGTCTCGACTGTGGTGCCGTTCCAGCAGTAGTCAGTGAAGCACTGCTGGCACACTTGTGGGATAGCTTCGCCGTTGCGCTCCAGACTCCTAGAGAGGATAGCGCATCCGACGCAAGTAGGCCAGTTTGAGGCACCCTCGCGCGTCGAGTTTGCTTGGGTGACGACGTCGTAGCCGTTCTCGATCATGCCGTTGCGCTCTGAGATGCTGTAGTCGAGCTTGTTGAAGGTGGAAGTGTTGGACCAGAAGACGTAGGGGGCGTTGGGGAGGTAGACGACGAGAGGAGGGATGTTGTCGCCCTCAGTGACGTTGCTGCTGTTGCAACCGAAGAAAGCGGGGCGACTGTTGAAACCTAGGGCAACGAAAGTGTCCTGGCCGGGGATGTAAGGGAACGAAGTCCTGTTCATGAGAGTGCCGCTTGCACGCTCGTAGGTTGCAACCAGAGAAGTGCCGTTGGGCCAGTTCTGCGATGGGTCGTCCTCCTCGACGGTGTCACCAGAGGAGTCGATAGCAAAGACGACATCGACCTGGCGTACGGGCTGAATGACCGGGTTGAAGGGAATGTTTTGACCATCCTCACCACCGTCCACGAGAGTAAGACGCTCCCTGTCAGCACTGGGGTTCGTCTCGTTGTGGTAGCGGAAGAAAGGGTTGGGCGAGTAGTCGGCGATATCGTCACCATCTTCACCGATACCCTTCAAGATGTTTGACACAAAGTTCACGAGGATCTGGGGTACGTCCTGGATGGTGTTTAGTGTGAGGAAGATCTGGTTGAACAAGGAGCTGCTGGTTCCCATGACGAAACCCAGGTTGTCGAATCCCTCAACACAGCCCTGGTCTTGAGCAAGTTCCCCCTCGCTGAAGTTGGAACCGATGTACTTCAGAGGAGCAAAGCCGTAGGTTGTAGGGTCGAATGAGCCCATTTCGAACGGGTTGAACTCGAAGTTGGTGGCGTTCAAAGAGATGATCAAGTCTCCGGGCGAACGCTCATCTGCGACGAGGATAGGCATCGGTGCGTTTCCGGATGAGAAGTCTTGGTCGTCCTGAATGGAAGAGAAGGTATAGGCTGAGGATGTTAGTTTGTGGGAATGAATGATATAGCGGTAAACATACCTGGGGCTCCATCGCTGGCGTTGATGAGTTGGAAAGAAAGACCGCGGCCGTAAACATCGGTAATCGACGTGTTGAAGTCACCAGCCGGCGAATCACTCTTGTCCTTGACCGTGCTGACCAAGTTGTCGTAGTACTGCGCAGTCGAGAGCAGCTGGATTCCCTTCGTGGGAGGTCCCTTGAACAGCGAGTTCTGGAATTGCCAAATCGCCGAGTCCTCACCCTTGTTGATGATTGCTTCAACTGAGGTAAAGTTGTTGGCGTAGATGCTGCCGATCATCCAGCCTCCTCCTGATAGTGCGGAAACATATGTGGATGCCTGCAAGATTCCTCCCAGGTGTCCTGCACTCGTCGAGTTCGTTGTCCGGCTGTCAAACGCTGCTAGAGCACCTGCACCATTCAGCAGAGCCCGGTATCCTCCACCAGAGAACGAGATCGCGATATTCGGTAGGGCGGTAGTGTTGTCACGGTGGTTGCTGATGTATTGTCCAACGTCGAAGCCCTCAATGTTGACGCGTTCGAGGAACTCGCGCATAGGATCGACTGTGTTCGGCCTCCTCTTCTGGAGCCATTCTGTCTCTTGCTGGGAGAGTTTGTCGGCGGATCGAATGCTCGGGCGCGTGGACGGGCAGTTGACTTCGGCTGGCGCGTAGCCGTTGGGAGCCTGGGGCGAGGCACGCTTCAATATATCCAGGCCATTGGGAGGTACGACTCTAGCTTCCCGAGGAACAACCGCAGATGCTGTCATGCGTCAGCTGGGTCCCTGCAGGAACACAAGGAGGCGCATCACTTACAGGTCGCTAAACTAGTCAATGCCGAAGCAGACAACACAGAAGAATACTTCATCCTAACGAATGGATGTAAAGAAAGGAGGGGTGAGAAGGCTGAGAAGACGCGAAATGAATCGCGAACAAATGCGGAATCATGGCAATGTTAAATGATGCGCTCCATGCTGACGGGAGGCTGCGGAATGACCCACACTGCACAGGCGGCTATGCTCCTGGCTCCAACGCACCAAACGCCCGGAAGAGCTAGGAGGATCTGACCTCATAGGCGTGCTACTAGGCGTGCCACTTGTCGTGGCTGAAGGCCCTGACGATCAAACTTTATTTTTAGTCCCATCTCTTCTCGTCGAGGTTTTGTCCGCGTTTGGTTTGTAAAGTGCTGTCGCATGCTCGCCTGAATCATCAGGCCTTCAGCCATCATCGGTCCTTGACAGATCTTCTTCGTGTGCAGCAGTTGCTAGCTGACACCGCCTTTCTGCGGTAAGGCTCTGGTCAGCGGGCACCGTTGTGGCGCGTCATCTCCCGTGAGTGGTTGGCGCTCATTTCGAAACAAGACGCTTTCGGCACTCGGCAAGCTGCCGGTACGAAGGGTACGAAAAAGAACCTTGATACGACCCTGTCATCCTGGCATTGAGTGTGGTGTGTTACTTTCTCCATGTTTGAGATGTCGAGACAAGCGTTTGGCGCAAAGTAAGTATCGCTGCCCTGTTGTTATGCAATAAACAATGTCGTCATCTTCATTAGGCCCTGATCGCAACTATTGCCGTACATCGCGCGTCGCGTCCTCACCGTTAGGCAGCCTGCGTACGGTCGTTTGATTCGACCGAACTGCTCTACATTACTTGAACAGCGTGATTTTCTTCACTACAGCGTATGCGCCATGCGCAGCGAGGAGTAGCTTCGCAAATAGTTCTGTTCCGAGGCTCCGGACTCCGCCATGACGATCAACGGGCGACACATAACGTCGCGGCGGTGCTATGGCCTCGCGCTACACAACGAATCGCGACGGTGCATAGTACTAGGCTATGAGCTAGATGCATGTATGGAGATGAAAGTATTGTTGACGCGGCCTGCAGAAGATGTCGCAGAGCGTAATCGTATACGCCGTACGAAAAGAGACGTTCTCGGCAGTCGTGCCCCGCGGCTTCCACCCGAGATCGCTTCAACGGCAACTGCGTACTGCCATGTTGAGAGTACGCCACCTCCGCCTTACAAATCGTTCGTTCGTCCGAACCTAAGCCTCCACCTCCACGTCTTCTTCCAACTCATGAATCCTGTGGCGATGATCCGCCATCGACTACTCAACAACGCAGAGGCACTGCTAACGGGTGGCTTACTCGCTGGGAATCAGTGTGAGGTGAACCATGATTCATGCATATCGAGCACAACGACAATGAAGAAGAGCATGCGCCTTGACTCATACTGGACCCTGGTCACGGTCAGGCTAGTCATTGAAGTCTTACTGTACATCTGATGAAGATCTGCGGCATACAACCTCACAAGCAACGACGATGATAGTCGCCATCTTCATATCATCATCATACATTGTATCAATTTCTCTCCCTGTATCTCGTGCTTTCCATGTACATTCTCCAACTACTCATTTCGTCCATTTGAAAGACCTAGCTACCGTACTTGTACAGGCCCAATCTCCCTCCTCTATCATCGTATCTAGCACTGATCCCCACAGCAACGTTGTGCATACCTAACACACTCTAAGTACGCCGAAGTCTACCTGGCTTCACTACTGGCTCCTCATCGGAGTCATCAGACACCATCGTATCCGGCAACTTGCTCTTGCCTATAAGTCCGGCCAGACCATCCATCTCGCGCGAAGCCATCGTGCCAGGATGCGCAGCCTCAAAGGCCTCTTCACCCAGATCAGCATCACGCTTGACCGCTTTGCCCTTGCCGCTAGCCTTCGCATAGCGTTCTTTCTTTGCATCCTTGACCGCGATCTTCTTGTTGTCCTTGGTCTCCGGCCACACGGAATCGAGGGCATCCGCAGCCTCATAAAGTGCCTTGATGGCTTCGCGAACGTCTTCCTCTTGCAGTTCCTTTGAACCCCAAGGGGTGTTGTCGAGACGAGCCTTCTTCGCATCGATGAGCGCATCTGAAGCGATCTCGTCGTTACCCGCTGTTGCTTCAGCGAGAATCGCGATCAGAGCGAGGACCCCCGGCTCAAACTTCATCGCCGTGTCCTTGATCCACCAGAAGCTCTTGATGTCGCGCTTCGACGCGGACACACTGTACTTCTGCTTCAGTGTCTTCGCGTTCGCAGAATCGAAGTCCTTGATCAAGCTCGCGATACGGCTGTATGGCTTGACGAGGCGGAGAACGTTCTTGCGGAGAGGGGCATCGCAACGACGAAGCTTGCTCATGTGGTTGCGAAGAGCTTCTTTTCCGAGTGCCTGCAGGTACGTTAGTATGTTTCAATGCAGAAATCGTCATCGTCGTCATCGTCTTCCTCCAAAGATTGGACCTTGCGTGTGGCCTGGATGAGTAGACCCTTAGTCATGAGGATAGTAGGCAGTGGGCCGATGTGTAGCCGTAGATGTAATCGCTGAGTTCTCTGGGTAGGTGGGCAAATGGGAAAGTACCAATCGATTCCCTTCCTCAACAAATCTCGAAACTTACCCTGAGTGACCTCTTTAGTAGGCCTGATGTATCATCAAGATACAGAATGACCTCCAGCTCAGGCTCCGGACTGATACGGTGGTAGTCGTAAGTACCGATCAGCAACTTCTCTCCATCGGCGACATTGTTGAAGTGGAAGGAGTTCATGTCGCTATTGTAGAGTAGCTCGCCATTGATGTCGCAGGCCCAGATCTCTTGATCACGAAGACGAAGTGTGCGCTCAATGTTGAAGATGATGTCGTCATGTGTCATTGACGGTGTAATGAGGAAGTTGTCCGCTTTGTCACCGGTCTCGGGGCAGTAGAGCTCCACCTTGATGGCGCGCGAGCGGTTCGGCGGGAGGGGGGTAGTGGGAGCCATGATGTAGACGTAGATGTAGATACGAATGTAGTATATGTAGTCAGGGGATGTGTGAGGTTGGAGAAGAGAGTATTGCGGTTGTAGAAGAAAGATATATACCCACTGACGAGATACTAGTCGCGGTGAAAATGAAAGTGAAGGTGAGCGCGACTCAAAATCTGCGCCCAATTTCGCAGTGACCTCGCCTCCCTGGAAGCCTCCATTGCCTGTCCGTGGACAACAATAGAGGTCGAGGTGAAGGGGTGCTGCCTAGATATGTGCGCCATCTCGGGGGCTTCCTTTCACTGAATCACTTCGCAAGTTTTCGTATTTAGCTAGGTCGAATGATCACGAGCAAGGCTTTACAAGTGGATTCTTGGAAGCCCTCATCAGACGTTCATGTTCTGTTGCTGTAGGGACAGTATTTGCGCAGCGGTATTACACCGCACGGATGGCCTGTGTACAAACGAGCGCTCGCTCACCTTCACGAGTGTAAACAACCCCACAATTCTGGGGCGCCCACCATCAGCCCATACTAAGCGGATATTGAACTCCTCTATATTTACCAACTAATTCGTCTATATTCCACGAAGAAACAACGAACAGTCTGGCTAGTGTTCTACGCATGTTTCCCTATAGTCTAGGGAGTTTAATCCGTGTCTCTAGTGGCTTAGTAAGAGTTTCTTTTTGCCTCTTTCTGCGGTCTCGTGTTCGAAACTCTGCAAGATTAAGTATTTTTTGCGCTTTGATGCGAGACCGTACCTTAGTGAAAGTGAATCATAAACGTGATCAGGTTGAGTAAAGTCTAGTCGTTTGCAAAAAGAGGCAAGCTTACGAAGACGTGCAGTAAATTGTGTCAATTACCATGTTCAGAGATGTCGCCAGGCGTACACGAGTACGAAGTGAGTGTATATGGCTTTCTACGTAAGCATATGATAAACTTCCAGGTGTGCTATAGACCACTAGAATGTTATCCCGAAAACTCTTGACATACTCCCAAACGTCGCTAACTACTCGTATTCGTCACGGGAAAGTAGGACGTAGATGCCTGGGGAAGTCGCAACAGTGGTATGATTGTGATTTCCAGCTTCGTTCGCCGCGGTTAACCTCAAGAAGGATGTCAAATACGTTGCTTGAGATGAAAGATTGGGGCGTCCGTACTACAGAAATGACCAAAAACCTTATCCGAGACCCGGGGTTATTCGCTACGATCGATTTCTTTGGCAAGATCGTCCCTGGTGAACAGCTCTCAGGTGAAGACTTCCTCCTCGCTAGCGCCGAGGCGAGCCGCCAGGCTAGCAATCCTTCCGAGCCCAAGGATCTCCGGGATTAAGATGTGTTGGACGCCGTCCAAACCATGTAAGAGGCCGCCGAAGCGATTGATTCCATATGAGACGACAACGATCCTACCCGCGTGAATTAGGTTAGTGGCTGAGCCTGGAGGGTGTCAGTGAGATTGAAGTGAGTGGAGTGATACATGCCGAGACGTCAACAACCTCCTGGGTCTGGCATGACATTCAAGTGGCTACTTGGGAATTCACAGAAGGTGTTCTGGGTCTACTATGATGGACTCCCGATCCATTGATAAGCCACTGGAGAAACTCTGGATACCATGAGAATTTGACTACTTGATCGAACGCACGATGATAATAACACGCCTACTGAGCAGATGCTTGATCCCATAGCCTTGAAGCACAGAGGTAGTACAATACATATGGCCGCTCTCGATCGAACGCCCTCTCGTTCACCGCATATACTTCTTCTCACCACCAAATGCCCAAGCTTAACACCCTAGGCCGCTTTCTCTACAGTCAGATACCTCTTGTACAGGCCGATACTGCCCTGCCTCTTGTCATATACGTAAGGGCCCCAGACCACCTTAGCGCCAGATCCGAACAGTCTAGTGGCCAATCTTTCAGCCAGATCAAAGGTCTTCGTATGGAAAGCCTCGTCTCCATATTCGCGCCTTGTAGGAATCGTAATCTTCAGCTTTTGCAGCCTACCCTCCCAATAGCCAAGATCCAAAGTGTCCCACTGTTCAATACAATCTTCTAGCGAATCCTCATCATCCGATTCATAGTCGAGACGATAACTCCATTCCAGATCCATCGTCAAGTTTTCAACTTGCAGGCCTTGAAGAAGGACCAGGAATTTCGGGTCGTTGTCCATAAGCTGGTCGACCTCTCTCCTGATTGCGATGTGGCGAATGACGTTCCTATTCATGACCAGCGAGTTGGTCAAGCCAGCCATGTCGGGAGGGTTACTATGGGCTTTTGTGTAATTGGTGTAATCGTAGTAGTCGATTATGACGAACGTTCGGGTAGCGCCAAAGCACAGGAGTGCTTCTGAGCAGAACTGCTTGTTGCTGCGAAGCCAGTTGGGAAGACCTTCCGGGACGGCTGAGTTAAGACCCATGTACCACATATCATAGCGACCCTCATACCATTCATATTCTTCCCACATATCACCTCCGTAGCCACCCTCATACCATCCCCATTCTTTATCCCTCTCGTCTTCTTTATCCTCTTCCTCCTCAGATCCCTCACCGTTCACCGCATCGATTTCCTTCTGTTCATTCACAACCCGGAGACCGTACTTTTGAGACGTCTGGCAAGTGGCTAGCAACAGGAGATTATCGGCGCGGAATACTCTGGCCTCCGTTCCTAGGGCGTACTTGTATACCGTATCGCGGAGTTCTCGTGGAAGGCGGAAGAATGGAAACACACCGGGCGGAACCCAATCTTCCGCGATCTTGGCTACTTGTCGTGCTTCCTTAGGTGTGGTGGGCGTTTTCTTGAGCTTGTCGCCGTCGATCCTTTGAAAGAGCGGCTCCCGAACGCGAACGTCGAAATAACTCATGGCGGCTTAGAGTAGGTGGATGAAGATATCTCACCGGAGAGAGTAGTCTGAACGCGAAGAAAGCTGGCGGAAGGCGACTCGTAAACAGAAATGATAGCGCATGGTGGGTACTAGCCCTGATCAGGCAGCAACGGTCCACTCTCACTTCGGTGAGTGAGTGCGAGCGCCCGGGCGCCTTCACTGATACACCCCGCAAGAGGACAACGAAATTTGACCAAAAGACAAGACTTGTATGCACTACCAAACAGCAGGGTATAGTTTCAGCTTTGCGATCATCATTTGCTTTCGTTACAGGTGTCACAGATGTACAGCATTGATAGGGACTTGGTCGAATGTTTGATGACGGCTACACATGCATTAAGAAGGCTTCTCCTACACATGACTACATACGGGCACGGCTCATAGCAGTACCAGCTACTCAGATCCCTCCGTTCAGGTAGTAATCCAGAGGGTACCCCAGCCAATCACACTGCTCCACATCCGTGTATCCAGCGCTCTTGCTAGGCCAATCCAACAGCCTAATCTCATCTCCTGACTTCTTAGTCGCATCAACCTGCATCCACTGACCATACTTCGTCACACCTTCAAGCACCTTGTAATACCCTCTGACATCAAGATACTTCAAGCTAGGGTTCGGGTCGCCATTTCTGATAAAGGAAGCGAAGTAGCTGGTAGTGAGTTGAACACTCCACAGATCCTCTGGTTCGCGGATACGGTTCAGAACGCCGAAGAACCAAGGCGAGTCTGCGCCGTGGAAGCGGAAGTACGGGTTCTCGGGGTTGTCGTTGGCAGGGCCACCCAGGTTGTTGGGATCGTAGCCGTCGATAGAACGGTCAAGTTGGTAGTAGTATGTCTTTGAGAAGGCTTTTGATCGCGAGGCAGAGTAGACGGTCGATTGGTCGGCACAGCGGAATGTCTTGTCGGTGGCAATACGCTGCGAGACATTAAAAGAGTCGAGCGTTAGGTTACCGGTGCTGGTAAAGGGAAAAAGACCGGACTGAATGACGCGTTCGGCCCATGTGCTGTTGATACCAAGCGCTTCCTGAAGGCCTTGAGAATGGTTTGAGATGGGGCTTGTGGGGTATGTGGAGAACGAAGCGCCGTCATCGAGAACGGTACCGAAGATTACAGGAATGTGTGCGGTACTGGCATTGCGAGTTGAGATGATGAGTTCGGGCGTGTTGACGTAGGTACCGTCTTGGACGACGTATCGGGCTACAGTGTTAAAGCCAACTAGGTCTGCAGCAGGAACCTTGTCGAGACAAGCGATTTGGGCTGACACATCAGTGCTGTTGCAGCCAGCGGCCGCAAAGATCTGAGGTCCGGCGACGGCGTAGCTCTGATTGACCGTGTAGTAGGTTGAGTATGTTGTCCCATAGTCACCGTCTAGACCAAGCGTTACGCCTCCTCCGAGGTTGGATAGAGCAACTGCACCTTGGAATTTTCCGATGGCTTTAGGAGAGCCCAATAATGTTCGGACAGAGCCAGCTCCAGCAGATCCTCCAGCGATGGTTATCCTCTCTGGGTCACCACCAAAGGCAGCGATGTTTGCAACGGTCCAGTCAAGTGCCAAAATCTGGTCGGCGATACCGAAATTGCCCTTAATGTCTGTTCCAGGAATGGCTAGGAAGCCGAGGGTGGAAAGACGGTAGTTGATGTTGACAACAACAAGATCCTCCTTGCTGGCAAGGTTTCCACCATCAGAGAGTGGATCAGCGCCACTTCCTCCGGTAAATCCACCACCGTGGATCCAAAACAAGACGGGTCGGAGCTGCTTCTTTGATCCCGCTTTGGGAATGTATGGTGTTTGGATGTTGAGGAAAAGGCAGTCTTCGCTTCCACCACCGCCTTGGATGCAGTTCGAGCCGTACTCGGTGGCCTGGATTGTTTGGCCCTTCTTGGAGTAGAGTGAAGAGTACTTGAAACGAGTAGGCGTGTCGGCATATGGAATGCCTAGGAACCTGAACGACTTTTGGTTGCGGTACCCGACGAAAGTATTTCCACCAGATGCTACTGAGATGGAACTTCCGTTTACAGGCCCGGCGCTTGCTGAACCGTTGTTTGCCGACTGTGTGCACAAGACTGGGAGTTGCTTGTGGTGTGATGAAGCAGACATATACTTCACTCGGTTGCCGACTGAGACCACGCCGCTGTCGATGTAG